TAACTCGCCCCTGACTCGGAAAGAGCACTCCACCCTTTTCCAGCAAAAATATGTAATCTCCATCTTGGAAGTTCTGATTCTCATTCCTGCTTCACACTGCTCCAGTGCAAGGAGGTCATGACCTAATGAATCCAACAGAACCACATCATCTACAGAAAGCAAAGATAAAATCCTGAGGCCACCTCTGTGAATCACCACCTTATAACATCGGAGGGGTTTGTGTTTTCCAGTGATTGTAAGAGATGTGTTGTCTCTCAATATGCTCAAGGTAGGTTCTCCCAAGGCAAACCGGTCCTGGGCAAAAGACCAGACAAATTCTGACAACCCCTATGACAACAACACACACAAAAAAAACAAAAAACAAATCAAAGGTCCATTTCATTTCCCTGACTCCTGGCATTTGGCCTGCATTCCTGTCATGGCTGGTGATGACCACAGCCTGTCATTAAGCAATTTGGTTTCTTGCAGGTTGGACCCCAGAAAACAGTTTTTCTCTCTGTTGTTATGAGCCGACCCTGCTGCTGTCTTGTTGTTATCTTGTTGCTGTTTTGTCGACTTGTATTGTTTGGTTATTCTTTGTGGTTTACAGTGTCTTGTGCGGCCTTGTTTCGTGTTAACTTTTTGTTTGATTTTAATCGTGCCGCATGTGTGTGTGTGTGTGTGTGTGTGTGTGTGTGTGTGTGTGTGTGTGTGTGCGTGCACTCCTTTTTTTGTTTTGTTTTTTTGTATATTATTTACAGAGTTGTTAATTGTTCCTTATTGCTTCATTTATATGTTTATTTTGCTCTGTCTTGTGAATAATGAGCCTGTGTGCCTTTGTAACTGTTAAAACATTTGCACTGGCTAATGTAATATTTCCTGAAGTGTAACTCCACCCCTGGTGGTGTAATCAGTACCATTTAGTTAGAAAATATATGTGTCAGTGTAAAAATGGCAAGAAAATAAAATGCTATATTAAATTTACCAACTAAATTACTAGGAACTCTTTTTAGTTTAAACATCAGTATGATGGGTATGCTCAATTCATCATAAAAAAACCAATTTCTTCAGTACCAGTCTAATAAATTTTAATGACTTTAAAGATATAATTTCTATATTGAAAATACAAATATGCAAAATTAAATGAATTGTGATCTAAATGCAGAAGTAAAAGGCTTAAACATTACCTAGATGTGAATATACAAATTGTGGGCGTCACATTTTCAGTTTATTTCCTGTCAAATTGCTACTTCTACAAAGCAAAGCAAAGATGTGGAGCCTTCAAAACCTGCTGTTTACCATCTGTAGTAAGTTGTTTAAATGACTAAATAAGTAAATAGATGAAGATTAAAGGTAAATCTAGATCAAACGTATAAATATTTATTTGCAGTGCCACACCTTTTGTTGATTTTGATATTTTCATTAGTAGCAATGCTAGTATGAGTGCTGAAATGACAAAATAAATGAAATATTTTTTATACTGTCTTTTCTTTACAGTTGCTCTGAGATGTGTGTCCAGTGCAGAAGAGGTGATCCATGTGACTGGGTATATGGGGAGTAAGGTTAAAATTTCCTGCCCCTATGATAAAGGTTACGAGTCTTATGAGAAGTATCTGTGTAAGAAAGATTGTGGCAGCGATGATGATGTTCTTATTAAAACATCTGAATCACAGAAAAACAAATACAGGATCAATGATGACAAAACAGCACGAATCGTCAAAACAACCATCTCCGATCTTCATTCCACGGATGCTGGGAAATACTGGTGTGGAGTGAGCAAAAATTGGAAAGATATCTACACTGAAGTTAAGCTGGAATTGGTACCAGGTAAATAAACACATGGACAAACTGAATTTAAAAAAGAAAGTTAAATCTACTGCTTTTACCTGCTATTTCTGCTATAGAATCAACATACTATTAAAGGAAAATGAAGACATACCAAAAAGTAAATATTTGTTGAATTCAAGTGAAATTTGTGAATATAAACCATGTGTTACTGTAAAGGTTACAAGGTAACAACACATAAAAACATGACTGATAAAACATTACTTGCGTTTACTGCTAAAAATATGACCTACTGATGCATCTCAGTTTTAGTCATTATAAATGTTTCAGTTGGTTAAGATTTTCTTAAGATCATTACAATCTTGTTGCAGCAAGCTAAATAAATAAAACATCATATCTCTATTCTATGGTTGTAGCATGTCTTGTGATGCTATTTATCTTTTTGACAGACAGCTGCTGTAACAGTGTGACAAAAATTGAAAGTTATGCAGGATATTCAGTGTCCTTCAGTTGTCCGTATGAGTCCCAGTACCAGAACAACCTGAAGTACATCTGCAGAGGAACACGGCCCTCCATGTGTCTGCAACAGGAACTAATCACCTCTTACAACAAACAACATGGGCGATTCAGACTTGATGATGACAATATGTCAACAAAATTCACAACAAAGATTAGCAGTTTGACCCAAAGAGATTCAGGGCGTTACCTTTGTGGCATCCAAAGAAACTCTGACCTGCATCTTTTCTATGCTTTTGAGCTGAAAGTTAAAGGTGAGCATTCATAGTAACGTCTCATTTTATCAGCTGACAGAAAACACTGCTTTCTGTAAAATTAATACATTTGTCTTTTTGACAGACCGCTGCTGTGATACTGTGACCAATATTGAAAGTTATGAGGGATACTCTGAGTCCATCAATTGTCCTTATGAGAATCAGTACCAGAACAGCCTGAAGTACATCTGCAGAGGAAACCAGCCCTCCACATGTCTGCAGAATGCACTAATCACCTCTAAGGACAGAGAAAATGGTCGCTTCAGTCTTAATGATGTAAAAATGTCAAGAATATTCACAGTGACAATTAGCAGCTTGACCCAAAGTGATTCAGGGCATTACCTTTGTGGTGTTCAAACAAACTCTGACCATGATGTTTTCTCTGCTGTTGAGCTACGAGTCAAAGGTGAGAGGTCATAGTAATATCTCATTATACCAACCAGAACAAAACAGTTTCTTCTAAAAGACTTTTTAAAAAAGTTGAATATTTTATGAGTCTAATAGTTTTTCTCTTTCCATCTGACAGAGTGGTGCTGTGTCAGGTCAACTAAAATAACAGGTACTGTGGGACAGCCACTAACTCTGCAGTGCCCTTATCCTCAACAACATCAGGATAACAGGAAGTTCCTCTGTAAGGGAGACCACCGCAACAGCTGCAGAGACATGGTGACGAGTCAAAACAGATTCGCACTACAAGGCGGTATTTATTCCAACTCTTTCTCAGTGACGATCACAAAGCTAGAAGAAGCTGATGCTGGGACATACTGGTGTGGGTCAGACTCACAGTGGAGAGTTGGAAACTACACCAAGATTCAGCTGTCAGTCGGTGAGATTAACACATTTAAATGAAGGAAAAATGGACAGAGCTATGAGTTACTACTATTTAAGCATAACTACAGCTGGTGATTCAGTTATTTCTAGTGTGATAGAATTATAACAACTCTGCCTTCATAGTGTTTCACACAAAGCACAGAATATATGCCAAACAGAACTAGAGGCCAGTTTTTTGTGGGGTTTTTTTTTTTACATCTTCTTTACTGGCTGGTTTTTCTACATTAATTAAGTAATTAATTAATTAACAGTCTAATTTCAGTTGTGTGAATAGTTTAAGATTCTTGGGGTATCAGTCAGGACCCTCTGCACTAGTCATTCTACTAAAATGTGATTCTTGTGTTAAAATAAAGTTTCTAAGAGAACTAAGAGGGTTTTTTTT